AGCTCACCTTGTCTCCAGTCCCTCTGGCAGCAGCTGTTTCAAGGTGGGAACCACCTGCCAACCGCAAGCCACACTGAGCAATGGCCTTGCCACTGTGGCAAGTGCCATAGTGGGGAATGGTACTCAGAAGAGCCACAGGTGTTGTGCCAAAAAGCCACACAGGGCTCTTGAGCCACTGAGTAGCACTGTCTAACCATGGGTCCTGTCTGTAGTAGCTCACTTTTAAAAATGCATAGCTGCCTTTGTCTTTGCAGTGTGAACAGCTGCAATGAAATATGGAAATAAAGTTTCTTGTGTATTTCTCCTTTGAATACCATCATTGTGCAGAATTTGGGCATAAAGGTAAAACGAACAGTGACTATTCTGTAAAATGTATTGAATATCTAGATTCAGTACACATTTGAGCTGATAACATACAACAGGAAACAGCAGAACATCCTGTTTCTGAGAGACCGAAACAATTTTGCAAGATTTTAAATAGCTCTTTTAAATTTTCAAATTCAGCCAACCCAGACTCAGTTGAGGCGATCTTGGAAAGATATACAGGCCTATGGATTCTGCATGATGCCATCTGAAACTGACAGCAAATCATGCAGCCTAATAGAACTTTTTCTAAACTAGAAGATGCATACAGGCAAAAACAACCTCAACTGGAAGCCACCTGGAGTTAATGAACTTCAAATGTTTTCAAGTAAGAGGATTTGTTTCAGTGCATTAACAGTGAAGACATTTTTAGAGCAGCATTGGAAGCCTCTGCCTAAAAATCAGTGCCAGTTATGCCCATGTTTTCTGATTATATTTCTGTAGCTGCTAAATATCCTAAACACTTGGATGTTGGGCAAAGTGTGAACTCCTGATACTTAACTTCACTACAGGATATACAGTTCTGCTGCATATTTGGAAGAAGCAACCAGAAATGCGAGACAATGATTTTATTTCCAGTGGCATGGAAATGTAATAAACTTTTTTTAAAAAACAATATATTTATTTATTAATAATATTAGATGCACTCCCCCAGCCCAAATGTTCAGATTACATAAGAAACATTTAACAATGTGTCCTAACCTCAATAGTCCAGGCAAGCCCGATTTTCATCAGACCTCGGAAGCTAAGCAGGGCCGATCCTAGCAAGTACTCGGAAGGACGACCTCCAAGGAGTACCAGGGCCCAGACACAGAGGCAGATAATATCAAAGACACCTCTCTGAAACGTCCTAGCCCCACTAGGCGTCACCAGAAATCACCATGACTCCCAGGCTTGCAAGCACGCACACACACATAACCCCCCCCCCAAGAAATATTTAACATTGTGTTAAATCACATAATCACTAGGATGAGGAGGGAAGGTGGAATGGTATAGCGTGATCTCGTCAGATCTTGAAAGCTAAGCAGTCGTACTTGAAAGGGAGACCCCCAAGGAAGACTGCAGAGGAAGGCAATGGTAGACTACCTCTGCTTCTCACTTGCCTTGAAAGCCCCTTGCTGGCGTTGCCACAAATCAGCTGCAACTTGATGGCACTTTACACACACACACTCACTTCCTAGTTGTGTCCACGGACGGCCACTGGGCGCCCTCGATACAGCGGAGCTTGAGTCTGGAGAACAATGGGGACCAGGCTCCTGCACCCTGCCACTAGGGGAACCAATGGGACATTTGCGGGAGGTTTGAATGGGCCAATGGGAGGTTCCCCAGACTGTATATAAGCGGCCGGTCGGCCGTTGGTGTGTGTGTGTGTGTTGTGTACTAGTAAAGTGTGCAGTGTATCATGCGTGCCTCAGCAATTCTTCCATGCGGCTAACCCACTACACAACACTAGTGTCAAGAGGATCCACAGAATGACTTTGAACATATAACCTTGAATAGCACCTACTCCCCCTTCATCCTTACTCCAGACATTATTTCTTGGGAATATGACCACTGAACTCTTCTATGTAAACATGCACGCTATCAGATAGAAAGGCTGCAGTTCTTTGCACACTTTTATTTATTCGACAACATTTTAACCCTGCCTTTCTGCTTTCAAAAGAATCAAAGTGGTTTAGGAGTAAATCCTACTGACCTCTGTGGGATTTACTCCTGAATAGACTTCCTTAGTATTGCATAGCAAAAAGCCTTAGGGTATGATCCCCAGTGTGGTACCCATGGGTGCCAATGTGCCTTCTGGAGCTTCTTCTGGCACCCATGTATATGTTTGAGGAAGGTGGTACCCAGAAATAGCTCCTCATCCTGCTGCCAATTAACTGGACAGCAAGGCCTGCCTGCTGCCGCTCATCTGATGGTGGTACCTACTTCCCTCTCTCACAGTTCCAAAGGTGCTCACAACTGCAATAAAGTTGGGGGTCATTTAAGGAATAAGTTTTTTACACTTTTGGAAAGAATGTACAGTGACAGAACTTGGCAGGCATCCCCGGGGATGCAATTCCCTAGGTGTTAAAATCAAGGCTTTATATATCAATGGATTTCATTTCCCAAAGAAAAGGCTGTAAAGAAAAACTTATTTTAGCAGTGGAGCAAAGGACGCTGTGAAATGTTGATTTTTGTGATGGACAACTTTCCATTGAGGGTTAAGAAATTATTAGCCAGAAAGCAAAGAGAACATGAAGATGTGCGTGATAGCCTGGGTACAAAACTTTTAGCACAGTAACTCACGCATGGCACTTGTAAGTTTCAGATCAATACAACTCATTTTCCCATGCGCTACATCTCTGTGGATTTTTGAATAGCACTAAAACACATTCAAATAGTTACAGCTAGAAAAAATAAGACCGAAAGATGAATCTGTTAAGAACTAGGGTTGCCAACCTCCAGATGGCACCTGGAGATCTCCTGCTATTCTAATTGATCTCCAGATGACCAAGATCAGTTTCTCTGGAGAAAACGGCTGCTTTGGAGGGTGAACTCTATGGCATTGTACCTTGCTGAGGTCCCTCCCCTCCCTAAACCTCACTGTCCCCAGGCCCAAAATCTCCAGATATTTCTCAATCCAGAGCTAGCAACCCTAAATCTTATGGCTGTGTATGGCCTGGGGGAATTCCACAACCCACAAAAATAGATGCCCCCCACAGGCTTAACTTGATTGGTTTAAGGGTGGGCTGTACTTTTTGTGTCTACTTTAGACTGTATCAGACTTAGGATGCAATGTATACCTTTGATGTCTCACAGAACAGAAGCATAGGACTGGCTTGGACCACAGAGTAATAAACTTCAAACCCTATTTTGCCAGTGCAGCATGGTATAGCAGTTAGAGTGTCAGGCTACGACTGAAATTCTCTTGTCTCTGGGTGACCCTGAGCCTGCCACTCTTCCTTAGCTTAACCTAGTTCACAGGGGTTTCTGAGGAGAAAGTATAGGAGAAAAGAACCATCTATGTTGCTCTGAATTGCCTTGGAAGAAGGGCGGCATAAAGTGTAATCAAGTCTTCCCTCACTACACTCTGGAAAGTCAACTTCGTAATTTTCACAAGCAGAGAGCAGGGGGCAGATTAGATCTCTTGTATCACTACCATTGTACATAGATCAATTTGGAATTGGGACTCTAAAAACTGCAATGAATGGGAGGAATGAATTATTATATTATTGCATTTTCTGCCATCCAGTAAATAAATAACAGAAACCTAAGATAGGCTTCAAGGCTGTAATCCTAGGGATATTTACTTAGGAATGCGTTACACAGACCTCAGTGGAATATATGTCAGAGCCGACATGCTTAGGATCCATCTTCATCATCACGGTTTTAATTCCACAGATTAAATCATGTTCCCTTTTTCTGTTCTAACAATGGTTAGCAAATAATTCAATTAATTATTTCACATATCAGCAGCTTTGTTAAATCACTCGCTATGGGGAAGTTAGCCTTCACAGTTTCTCAGTTTGGATTATCTATTACATTTTAAACTATATGTCCTTGGCAAACTAGTTTCCTGCTACAGTGTAATTCATTTTGGAGATTACAATAAATGTTGTTGATGTCTCCGTCTTCTAGGTCCCTTAATCTGCCCTATGATTGTGATGGTTGCTTAATATGAATTCAAATGCCCATAAAACATATTTATCAATGCACACATTCCAGCACTAGAGAGTATCTCCAGACCCCAGTATTTGCCAAAGTGCCAAGAATCCAACACCAAAAGTGGAATATGGGGGAACAAAAATTTAGCCATTTGTGAAAAGTATTGGCGTGAGTATAAGAGAAACATCCAGAATTTTACACGCCCAGGAAATGTAACCACTAAAACAACCCAGATGTCAAAAGCTGTATTTGTTTTCTTTACCGAAGAATCAAAGAACATTTGTCAGACACGTGGTATTTTCCCATTTTGTATGATCAACCATTTTATTCTGATGTCTAATGATAGATCTGTCAGTGAGTGCCATCCTAAGCAGGTCTACTTAGAATCCTATTCAATGGGGCTTACTCCCATGAGAGAGTTCTTAAGATTGCACTGTGTGTTTCATAAACCGGCACAGTATTGAATCAGCAGACTTTTTAGTCTTTATTTTTGTAAAAACACACTTGCAGGTCTGCAGTTGGGGAACGAGAACCCTAACCCCCCCCCCACATTAGATGGACTGGATTCTTTCGCTCTCTCTTTGTTAAATGAGAGTGGATTTTCCACTGGCTTCCAGCTGACGCTCAGCTAGGTCCGTCTTTTTCTTTGCCTCACGACAGGAGCTAGAAAAGAAGCCTTTCCAGAAAGAGGTCGGGAAGGAAGTTTCCTCTTTACTAAAGGGGCGCATCAGCAGTTAGCCGCCTGCGCCTTCGCTCTTTTCCTCCCGTCAGAAGGGAAAGGACTTGCTTCTGAGGCCACTTTTGCGCCTGGCGAAGGCAGGGAGTGGCGGCGGCGGCGGCGGAGTTGATGCCGATGCGCCTCGGCCCTCCCCGTCCCTCCTCTCTCGCTGGGTAGCAGCGCGGGGAGGAGGAGAAGGAGGAGGAGGGTGAGCGGTGGGAGGGTCCCCATTGAAATAAACAAGCAGCCAGTTATTAAAACGGGAACATGGCGGCCGCGAAGGACTCGGCAGCTCCAGCTTCCTCTTACAAAGCGAAGGTCAGCGCTGGCGGCAGCCTGGGCGACAGGAGCCGGAGACGTTACTGACCTCGGTAAAAGAAGGCGCCCACGTACCCCTTCCCCCGCCTAGCTGCTAGGCCTCACTCCGCAGGCTAGGTTGGGGAGCGAGTAGGAGAGGGATCCCTCCCCAGTAGTATGTTGTATAATCGGGGTTGTGTGTGGTGCTGGCTGGGGATGGCTGGTGAGGACAGATGCTTTGAAAGCCACCCAAGGCAGGCAAAAAAGGGGGTGGCGACTCGGCTTGCTCTGACCCCCCCCCTCCATCACTCTCTTTTCCCTCCCCATGCAGAAGAAGCAAGTTGTGGGTCCCCCCACCCCCTTTCAGAAGTGGAGACCGGGGGGGGGGGGGGGGGTCGGCCCCCCAGTCCGAGGCCACTTTTCTTTTATGACTGGCGGGTGTGTGGTTGTTTAATGGAAATGCGTGCGCGGGGGTGGTGTAGAGATTCGCTTCTGTTTAAAGTTGCCCCCCCCTTCCCCTTCCCCTTCAAGGTGGCGGCTCGTCCCTCAGGGTGAGAGAGAAAGGGGCGCCCAGGCGAAAAAGGGACGGGAGCGGGAGAAGAGGAAAGGGGGTCATGAATGTTGCTGGCGGCGGGGAAGTGGAAGGGGGTGTTAATGGCGAAGGCTGGCCGCTATTCCTTCTCCCCCCCCCCACCCCCACCCCGGGTCTCAATGGGGAGGAGGACCGCTCCGCGATAGAAAGGACTTCAGGGGTGGCAGCTGCGTGGCTGACAATGAGGACCCCTTGCGCGGGGCGGGGAGGGGGGAGAGCGAGCGTGGTGCGGAGGAGAGAGGCTGGGGTCTCTCTTCCGAGGCAAGGAGGGTGCTTGGCTTCCCCTGGGGACAGGCTGGTGGTGACACCCCGGCGAGCGTGAGAGGAATGATGATCCAGCGAAGGAGGCTGGCTCGCGGAGAGGCGGCGGCGGCGGGGATGTCTTTTTGCTGACAGTCGCCTCCAAGATCGGGCCAGGGTGGCGGCGACGGCGGCTTGCTTCAGCCTTTTCTTCTTCCCCCCACTCCGGCCGCCGATGGGGCTTTAACTTCTCTTAACTTTGGTACGCAGAGGACCGGCCGTCGAAGTCCCCCTTGCTAGGCTCGTTTGACTGGTGCCCGGCTTTCCGGGCGACGGTGGCGGCGGCCTGGAAAGCCTTGGAGGGCGGCGGGTTTGCAGCGCGCCCCTGTCCCCGTGGATCCAGCCTTGCGGCCGCCTCCTCCTTTTAACTCCCCGGGGGCTGCGTTGATGGATCGATTGAACTCCCTCTCTGTGTGTGTATTTGTGGAGACTCCACCTTCCCTTTCTGCATAGGACTCCTTTTTGTTTAATGTGGGGCTCGGCTACTCCTCGGAGGGAGTGGGGAAGAGGAGCCTAATTCCAGCCTCCCTCCCCCTATTGTATGTGGCGGATGACATACCCCTCCCTTCCCCAGTGTGCCAGTGAGGGTGTGCGTCGTCTAATCCCCTCTCCACCTGCTCCCTGAGCTACCCTTGTGCAGGGGAGGGTGCCGGCGAGTGGGTATCAAACACAAACAACCGTCCTCGTCTTCTCCCTCGTCTCTTCACCTACCAAAAGATCCCTGCTTGCGATTGAACTGGGGGTGTTTTCATCTCGAGGCCAGTGATTTTCATCTTACACAGAGATGGCGTTTTCTTTTCTTTTGCAGGCAGACGCTCTTGTGTTCGAGGCTCTGCCGACAGTAGTGTTGCAAAGGTATCCAGGGTTATTGGTTGTCTTGGCAACTTTGACTTTGTTCATGCAATATGTATTTTCATCTAGACCGTTCTTCCATATGCTCTGCAATCGATCTAGTTAGTGCTGAGGGTTCGTTGAGCTGAACTATATGACATATTTGGAATAGATGAAAGAGAGGAAAATGGAGTAAACTTGTCTACTTTGCCCTTTAATCACTTAACAGAGCATTTTAGAGACAGATGCTATGGTAGCCAGCCTTAGGTTCTGGGAAATGTATTGATCTGCTCCTGAAACCAACTTTTGAGAATGTTCACGGTGGATGCGAATGTCCACCTGAAGTTGTGTGGAAAGTTGTTGGCTAAAACAAGCCAGTTAAACAATTCCCTTGTCTCACCAGGGGACCCTGGGAACTGTAGTTCTTTAAAAGGAGTTAGAAATTGTTAACCTCTTCATATTTCTGTTTCTTTGGGGGAAGGTGTGACATTGAAACTGCTAAACCCAGTATACATATGTAATATAAGTAAAGGCTTATTCATAATTTGGATAGATAGAAGCCATTTCCTTCCTTCCTGTTGAAGGTTGCCTACCTGAACATTTCTTTGAGAGCTGTCTTTTTGGTGTATAAATCAATCGCAGTGTCAGTATGTGATATATTAGAGTGTTGAGAGAATGGCTAGTGTACAATAAACAGTGTATTATAGTTTGTTTTCCCCCCCCCCTTTGTACAATTGCAGAATTTACCACAACAGTCTTGTTAATAAGAAGAAAAATGTAACTTTCCTGGTATCAGGAAGGTGATTTCCTTGTATAGTTAATTTTTAAAAAGAAAACAAATTTGGTATTTTTTTGAGACAATGTCACAATTCAGGAACATGAGTCTGACAACTGAATTTTTCACACACCAAATGTGTGGCTTCATAGTTGGCAAGGACAGGGTAGCTGAAACTTTATTAAGGGCTCTCTGAGTAGTTGGAAATCTAACATTGTTGGTTGGTTGTACTTTAGATACTTGTGCTAGTAGCTACACCATTCCACTGAGTGCTGTTTGCTTTAGAAACTATTGCTCTTCAACCATTGAAGCATGACAAAATTCTTTGAAAAATATTATGACACCCCTCCCCCACACACAAATGTTGAGGTTTTGTGTGAGTGATTATCCAGCTTTTCTTTGAGTAATCTGCGATACTCTCATGAAATAAACTTTACAACTTGCCACAATCATTGGTCATTTAATTTTAATTTTGAATAATCACCCTTCTGCTTGAGAGCCTATATGATATGCTAATAGTGCTTTGTCTATTGGGGTAATCATGGGGCAAAATGTTTGATTGCATAGAAATTCTGTTAAAGAAAAAATAGAATACACTAAAATGGACCAGTACACTCAATTCAGAATAGGCTTATCTTGTGCACTGTGTTGTAAATGGTATATTAAAAGATGAAGGTTTACTGTTAGGTGCAATATGATTAAATTGCTGGAGTTAGCTTTTACTGCATTTTGCTTTATAATAGGAGTGAGCATGCCCATCTGTAAAGAGTGCAGGTTGGTCTGTAGGAATAGCAAAGTCATTTAGAAAGACAGCTGCTAGTACAATGCTCACTGTTTTCTGCTCTCTCCTTTTGTTGATGATGTCACTGACATGTTGGCGTAAGCTGAATTCCCTATGCTAAACTGAAACTCAAGCAGGGAGGATACAGATAAGACATCTTAAAGATCTGACCCGTATCTGAGAAAAATAAGAGAAGTCTTAAATATTTTCTGATCAGTATGTTGTACGATGAATGTCAGTGGTCTGAGTTTGTACACATGGATTTTGTTCCATATCGTTTTATTCTAAACACTGAGAATTTAGCATAACAAAACCTAAAATCTGATTGCATACTTGGCAAGTTCATTGTGTTTCTTTCTTCTTATATTAAAGAGAGATACTAGTAATATATGGTGAAATTATTTGGTGGCATTTCTTTTTGAAGGATTAAAATCTAGATGTGTTTTGTTACAGATCACAAATTTTCTATTGCACTGAAATTAAATGGTATTAAGCAATGAAGATCATTTATCTAATTGTTCCTTCTGTGTATCTGCGCATATGTTACTAAAGACTTGCCTAATCAGACCCATACTATAAAATAATTAAATTGCAAATGATCATTATGTACCCTCACATTTTTAATGGGGCTAAAAAGGCAGCTCACCACTGTTTCATTCTCTGAAAATGTTATTTGATCATTTTGGATAGTGTACAGAGGGAATGCAGTTGGGGGTGGGAAAGAACTTCTTGAACATATGGAGATAACCAGAAAGATGTGCATCGTCAGCTGTGGTTCCATTGTATGCATTCAGATAGAAACTGAGCTATTTTTCCTCTTGGGGATTTTGGTCTTACAGAGGAATTTTTTTTTTTAACTTCAAGATGTACTGATAATGAAGCCTGAAGCAGTAAACTAACAATGCACATGCATGATGTTAATTTTCTAAAACATTACTACATTATTGCATCAATGCAAGTGAATTTCTTAGCAGTTACGGTTCCTACACATAAAATAAACTATTCATATGGTAAATAGGATGTTTCATATTGGCTTTATTTAATCAGTAGTTATATTATTAATGGCTTATTAGCAACATATCAATTACACAAACACATAATGAGCTAAAGAGTCAATAGCTTAATGTTTCAGATTACATGGTGAACTTGGAAATTTAAAATTTCTTATGTTCTAAGTTTGGAATATGAATTGGGGTGGTGGTTGCAGGAAACGAACTTTGATATTTTGAATACTTAGTTTTGATTTTTTTCAAACAAGATTCCCCACCCCCACCCCCAAGTTGCAGCTGACTTACGGCAACTTCTCCTGAGGGATTTCAAGGCAAGAGACATTCAGATATGGTTTGCCATTGCCTGCCATTAAGTGAAAGTAAGGTCATTGTTTGCCCATAATGAGTATAGAACTCACATGACATGGATAATTGAAATAATGTGTAATAGCTTCCATTGCAAACACTCATTTTATTGTATAAATTTTACCTGTCATGTGTTTGCATTTCAGTAGGTCCCATGCTGCCACCTTGCCCTGGAATGATTGAAGACCACTGATATACAGTATCTTATAAAGACTGACTGATTGCGGGAGGTTGATGTAACTTTATGGGGCATATATTGTTGCAAATGACTATTTATGTGGTTGGGGTTTTTTCCATTAAAAAGACTTTGGTAAAGAGAAAGGCAGCTCTCCAGATCCTATCATAATGACTTAAAACATTTGTGAACTGTATGATCTGCTGCTCCTACAGGGATGTAATTGGGACATGTCACTTTGAGCTGTCACAATAGCTGGATCATG